GGAGAGGAGAAAAAACTTAGGTTCTAGGGAGGAAAAATGTTCATTTTTCATGACTATTATAGCCAATTAAATTTTAGGATAAAATAAGTGAATGGAAGCACAGGAAACATAATGCATGTTTGATAAAAGATTTATTTTAGCATTGACATGTGTGGTTAAACTGCTGTGTGATTCCAGACCTCCGGTGGAGAATGCATGGTCTTTTGCCCATTGGAATGCAATTCAGGCAATCGGTGTGATGTCTTCTGGTGAGTCCTTACAATGCACCGGTGCTGTGTTTAACTAAAGTAATGTAGTTTGGTTCCAGCCCTGGCTTCATCTGTGAGGTTTGCAGGTTATATCTTCATGTCAGTGCAGGTTTCCTCCATAAACTCCAGTTTTTCCAAAAGAATACAGTTGGTGGCTTGGTTTCTGTAAACTGTGTGATTATGAGTGACAAGTGAGTGCTTTCCAGTGTGTCCCCTGTCTCGTACGCTCTGCTTGGATAGGCTCTAAGTCCACCATGATATCGCACTAGATAAGCAGTTATGGATGGATGGTATAACAAGTGAAACTGTTCATAAACTACTGCAAATGGCTAGGTTGGCATAACTGATGACTTCTATTTTTTGAATGACTGGCATTAATTGGTACATACATCTTAGATCCTTTCTCCCTTGCAGGGTTTATATGTCACCATAACAGCTTCATGATCTACAATTCTTTGAAGGAGCCCACCCTCAGCACCTGGTCTCGAGTCACACACATCTCCGTCAGCTCCGCCGCGCTCATCAGCTTACTGTTCGCAACAGCGGGCTACGCTACCTTCACTGGGTACACGCAAGGTAAACGCAATAAAAGCCAGTTCGAAATGTGTACTTTACAAAATTGACGCCACTAGAGGGCGCTGCAGTTCTGCGGTATTAGTGGTGAAGTTTTGGGTCTTCTTTTAACTTTAGGAGACATATTTGAAAACTACTGCAGAAGCGATGACTTGGCCACGTTTGGTCGCTTTTGTTTTGGGATCAGTATAATAACAACCTTTCCTCTTGAATGCTTTGTGACTCGAGAGGTATGAAATATATATATAATTTTTAAACGAGCTAATAGCAGAGCAGTTGACTTTTTTTTTTTTTAATTCTTCATTTATTGGTTGTTTAAAATATTATATGACGTAATAGAGATTTTGTGCCTTTTGCAGGTGGTGTCAAATGTGTTTTTCCATGGAGTGCTCAGCAATGTAGCCCATGTCGTTGTTACTGTGGTGATAATCGCAGTATCCACAGTAATCTCCCTAACGTACGACTGCCTGGGCATTGTTCTGGAATTAAATGTAAGGTTTTGATCCTGAGCTGGTTACTTGGTTAGACTGATAGTCAGAATGTGAGTTTGTATCATAATTTTATTGACAAACACTTTTGAATATGTGTAGGGAATATCGTTTTCCTTTTTTGTGTGAGAGCAGTTAGATGAAATTGTCTGAATAAGAAGATTATCTACCCACAGGGTCCAGTACAGTTTTTGGATCCCATTAAAGCATATCACATTGGGCCGCTAAACCAATCCAACTATATTCCAAATTTTTAGGGCCTCTGTCACTTAGGGCCTTTTGAATCTTCCGAACTTTCCACCCCTTTTCGGAGCCCATCCCTGCCCCCTGACAACTTTAAAGATGTCTCCTTGCATGATTGTTCAGTCATGTGACTGTTTCATGTGAATGTTAGCGAGCAGCAACACGTGTTTAATCTGTGTGTGTGTGTGTGTGTGGTTTTTTTCCCCAGGGAGTTCTCTGTGCCACTCCGCTGATTTTCGTCATTCCGTCAGCGTGTTACCTGAAGCTGTCTAACAACCGATGGTTTCAGGGAGAGAACTTCGTTTGCTGCATCCTCCTGCTGGTGGGAGTGTGTGTCATGGTCATTGGTTTAGCCATGACCGTCCTGTATCCCCAAGACTGCTCTCACGGAGCGGAGATGTTCTACTGCATCTCAAACGTCTCTGCCCTCAATGCAACGCCATCTAGCACGATTTCTGTGCCAGAGGTTTTCAGTGTGTCTCCGAATGCGACCAATTTCTGAGATGCCTGCTTAATTGTGCTTAATTTAAAGATGGTTTCACATTTTATTCCCTTTTACAAATTAATAGTAATGGTTAATTACACTTGTAATATGTTTATATAAAATATATAGTTATCAACAGTAACTTTTTTCTAGCCTGAAATTTTATGCAAACTTCTAAATTAATGTCAAGTACAATACGTATCTACGTTAACTAAACCAGAAAAACAACCTGAATAAGGCTTGCAGTGGATTATGGATGTTATGAAAAGAACGGCCACATGACGGCGCTATGAAATATATTAAACATTCCTACTTGCATCTGTATTTCAGTCACGGCTGTTGTAGTACTTGCAAGGTTTTTTTTTCTTTGTGGTTCAACGTTGGTGAAACTTAGTAAAAATAAACCACTTAAAAACAAACAAATGCGACCATAACCGTGTATTTTGGAGCCCAGATAATTCCTCAAGTGTCGAAAAATTGGCTTTTTAGAGACGGAGCAAAAGCATTTTTGCAAAATAAAGTAAAACATAAATAATGTTGACTACAACGTTACCATTCTCCCTCTTAACCGCTAATAATGTAAAAACGTGCTTGTAATTAAAGTGAAGGACAAATACTGGTCTCCTGCGACGCCAATTTCACAAAATGTGAAATTCAATAACTGCATGCAATAATTCCGAAGGATGCTGGCATGTTTGAGCTGTTGCAAAATGCGGAATGTGTCGGAAAATTAACTATCTTGAAAGACGAGGACGTAATTTGGCTTTGAAACTAATGTCACGACATGAAAACAAAGCTTGTTTGCTTTGTGAAGTGGGTCAGATGGAGTCTTTTTTGGATGACGGGTTAATGCATGGCGGAGGAATCGTAGCAACATTACTTGGGAATTTTAGGATCACTGAAGGACCTCTACAAACCTTACATGGATATACAGATAAACAATATACAAAACACTTCTTGTTGCTTCGTGTCATATATGTGATTTGTCCTACACAATGAAACCAACACATTTCCCCGGCCAGGGTCGGGGGGGGGGGGGTTGCTTCCCCCTTAAGAGACGCGTAGTTATTTATTGCACCAACGGAAATTAGTACACAGATTTATCAATGTATTTTTTAATGCGGCAACGTTGATGTTTAAGCAGTTTTAAATCGCTGAACGGAGCCTTCCTATAATTAAAAGTAAGTTTCTTCTTGAAGCTATGACGTAATTGTCAAACGCATCCTCCCTCCCACTTCAGTATATCAGAAGTCATTTATCTGGCCGTGAAAAACTTTAAACATGTCTTAAGTCACTGAATATGCGCAAATGCGCACTTGTCTGAGTTTTCCTTCGTAAAAGACTTTGAATCAGTTAGGAATGGACAACCTTGGTGTGCAAGGTACTTTGCACCGTCTACCTCCAGCTACCAGGTATGTTTCAGAGTTTCTTTGGCATGAAACCGTTATACTTGCAGTGCACTGCAGTAAGGTAGCGGAGGAGAAAACAATGTCAATGCATAACTCGTATAACGTTATTATTTTTAAAATTGCATGTGCTCTGGGTAATTTAACACGACGCTGTATAAAGGTAAAATTGAGGTCGTCTTATTTATTTTTTTACGTGGGGTTTCAATGCCGGGTTCGCACCGATCAGTGGTTCTTACTCCTTGAGGCTTCGGGACCAGGGTTATTTCTGGGTTTTATTTACGCCGGTTACGAGTTTTTATTGAGGCCATGATTGACATAACTATCAACATAGATCGCATTACAACCAAAATTAGTCTTTCTAGCTTGCTACTAATGGGATGAAGCGTGTTATTATTTGAATTCTAATTATATTTGATGAAAGATTTCTCCGAAGTTTCGAAGCTCTGAACGGTACAATTTTATTTTAATCATGTTTCAAGTGAGCAATTTGTGGTTTGTGTGGTACGCATTGAATAACGTAAGCAAAGAGTACATAATAGATTCAATTAGGAATATCTGTTTCATAACTGTCTTTTTTTACTGAATGAACAACTACCCTCACCATTGTTGTTGTTGTTATTATTATTATTATTATTATTATTATTATTATTTATTTATCCATCTTCTAACTGCGTGTCCTGGTCATGGTTGCTGAGGTCCAGCAGCGTATACTAGGTCGGATAAGGCACGAGACAAGGAAATGCTGTAGATATATAGGATTCCTCTGGCTATCCATGCACAGATGTTTAAATGGCTCAGCTGTCACTTTTAGGTATGTGGATGATGTGTCAATATATGTGCGAATGCGAAGCACTGGACCAGCGTCCCACCCAGTACGTGGCATATGCCTCGCGCCCCTTGGACACGTCTGTTAACGCCACCGCGATCTAGAAACAAAAATGGACAACCAGCGAACGTTTCTTTTTTAAAAAGACGCCTTTCAATTTTGATAGCATCACTTTTACCCTCATGTTTTTAGTTAGTCTTGGATAGTCTGTCAAGAATGGTAGCCATGAAAATGAAATTCCGCGATGCGCTGTCAAGCATAGGCATATCAGGCCTGAAATTACAGTGTGGACTATGCCAAAACCAATCTAGACACCATATTGCGAGAAATATCATGAAATATGTAAATAGTCTTTATGTGAATGCATATCTGAAGGTACATAATTGAAAATACATGGTTACCAATACTTATCTAATCAAAAGCACTCATTTAAATATTACAACAAATGACTTACAAAAACACACATGACATGTGACTCCAACCACAGAGGTGTGAAACAACAGTGACCCCCCCCCCCCAAGTCTTAACTAGTCTTAACTATCCTCTTTCAGATCCATGGAACAGTACTGATAGTTGTCTTTGGAGTCACCAAATTTGAGGAGTAAACCTTCTGGACACACCAAGTTTCTGTCAGAGACCAACTGGGTTTAGTTTTTCACAAGTGACATCAGAAAAACCCATAAACTCAGGCCTTTCAAACAAACTATCACCTCATCTCAACATCTGCTTTCCTACATGCTCCCCCCACATAATTCATAGCTTATTGGGACTTGAACTGCATGCAAGACCTACCCTTAAAACTGTTTTAAAGGGTATACCCATGGTTACTAAATCTAACATAATGAGAATTAAAACATTTTGAAATAATTGTCTTACGAAAGATATTCCAGGATCTACTTATAACCATGTTCTGAGAACGTCTGTTGTTTTGTTGTGGTTTCCTTACTTTTCTACCCAGAGGGCAATTTTAGATGTTTAGACACATCATGTGTTATAAGCCAATAGCAATGTGATGACATAACAGCTTGACTGAAGAAAACTAATTCAATTTCCCCATATCAACAAAAATCATTGACATCACAGATGTAGCCATAAGGTAATCAAATAAGACAATACAGAGGACTTCAAGTTACATTCTGTTTCTGCAATAAGGATGTAGCATTTGAATATGATTTTGAAATCTGTGTTTAAATGTTTAGTTTTGAAACAATGTCTCTTGTTTGAATAACAAACAAATCTCCTTCTGTCTGGAAATTAAGTTACAGATTTCAGCTATTTCAATAACCTTTGAACTTTTGCTCATTTCCTGACTTTGAAGACTCAGTGGGAAACTAACTTAACCATCTGTACGAGTCATGGGAAATACATTGTGGACAAAAGGACAGATTCAGGGCATCATAATCCCAAATGTATACTTATTTGTGTAACTTAACACAATGTGTTGTAGTTGTGATTATAGTTGTAGTTATAGTTGGTGTTCTTCTTCTTCTTATTGTTATTATTCGCTATTACTCCTATAAAAATAGTTGTAAATAAAGTTAAAAAATGTCATTTTAAATTAGTTAAAAGTTAACAGTTTAATTCAGTTGCATAATAAAAATGAATTCATCTGATAACATTCTATTATTCTGGTTAGAGTTGTGCTAGGGCCTGGATCCTATCCCAGCCCGTATAGGGTAGAGGGCACAACACTGGCAAGGGAGCTGCACATAAGGTCAAGTCAAGTGGGCTTTATTGTCATAACATCTATATACAGCTACACAGTGGCACGAAGTAGCATTTTGCCATGAGCACGGTGCAGCATTCAAAAGCAGTGGGGGGGGGGGCGGTTTCACAGTTTCAAAGTGCAAAACTCAAGTGGATGGATACAAGGGCTTTATATACATGGTGGACTTAAACATCAGCCCTGGACTTCGGTGTCCCACATGGTCCCATGGTGAATTTATTATTATTTATTTATTATGGGGGGTGTGATCTCCCATAATAACTTTTGCCGAGCAATACATTTTGCTGCCCAGGGGGGTGAGCAATAAATTTCACCAGCCCTCCAGGAAAACGCCCGGTATGCCAGACGGCCAGTCCAGCCCTGTTCATAGTGCAGTGTGTGTGTGTGTGTGTGTGTGTGTG